TCATCATGTGAGAGAAACAACTGACACACATCAAAGACTGAGTCATCATGTGAGAGAAACAACTGACAGACATCAAAGACTGACTCATCATGTGAGAGAAACAACTTACAGACATCAAAGACTAACTCATCATGTGAGAGAAACAACTGACACACATCAAACACAAACTCTTCATGTGAGAGAGACAACTGACAAACATCAAACACCGATTCATCATGTGAGAGAAACAACTGACACACATCAAAGACTGACTCATCATGTGAGAGGAACAACTGACAGACATCAAAGACTGACTCATCATGTGAGAGAAACAACTGACAGACATCAAAGACTGACTCTTCATGTGAGAGGAACGACTGACCNAACAACTGACAGACATCAAAGACTGACTCATCATGTGAGAGAAACAACTGACAGACATCAAAGACTGACTCTTCATGTGAGAGGAACGACTGACCCACATCAAACACAGATTCATCATGTGAAAGAAACAACTGACAGACATCAAAGACTGACTCATCATGTGAGAGGAACAATAGACACACACCAAACACTGATTCATCATGTGAGAGGAACAACAGACACACATCAAACACTGACTCATCATGTGAGAGGAACAACTGACACACATCAAACACAAACTCTTCATGTGAGAGAGACAACTGACAAACATCAAACACCGATTCATCATGTGAGAGGAACAACTTACAGACATCAAAGACTGACTCATCATGTGAGAGAAACAACTGACAGACATCAAAGACTAACTCATCATGTGAGAGAAACAACTGACACACATCAAAGACTGACTCTTCATGTGAGAGGAACAACTGACACACATCAAACACTGATTCATCATGTGAGAGGAACAACTGACACACATCAAAGACTGATTCATCATGTGAGAGGAACAACAGACACACACCAAACACTGATTCATCGTGTGAGAGGAACAACAGACACACATCAAACACATCAACATTCAGACTGTGACACGATGGGAGTTTTACCGTGGTCAAGCTGCTGAGGGTGCACTTCAGACTCTGCAGGTTATCCAGCACCATCTCTCCAGAGAGTAGAGAGAAGTCCTTCAAACAGCTCCACTCCACTGCACACACACACAGAGACACACACAGAGACACACACAGACACACACACACACACACAGACACACACACACAGTGTCCACAACAGCTTCTCTTTTCATTGAAAATCAATAGAGATTAACATGAAGGTCACATCAACTCTGATCCTGTTTCTCTAATAACCTCTAATACTCTTTAATAATCTCGTCTCTAATTATCTATAATTGCTTAAAGAAAGTATCTATAAATCAGGAACCACGTTATTAAAGTAAAGACTAAAATCTGTTCTGACACTTTCTTTAACACTTTTTATCATTTCAACAGATTTGACATGAGATTAAGACTCAGATCAGCAGGTGAACTGATCAGGAATCGAACTGTGATCTCTGCTGAACTGACTTTCTTTACGTCCAAAATCTAAACTTCTGACATTGACAGAAAATGTTATTAAAATGTTCAGTGACCTGCAGGAGTGAAGCTTTCTTACCTCTGTACTTGGTCACCACCGTAGAGTTGAGACACTGCGGCTCCTGAAACGTGACGGTCAGTGTGCTGCTGCTGCTCACGCTCAGACGAACCATAGACGGGGCCTCCGGAGCTCCTGAGCAGGGGCACGGAGAGAAGGTGCGTTTGTGTGAGGAGCAGAGACGTGACGTCATCAAGTACCAACAGTGACTGTAGCTTCCTGTTTTCAGTAACGGACCTGAGCCTTAATTATAACCGTTGCTTTTGAGTGTGAGCAGACTTTTAGTATGAATCCTGTTTTAGAAATGAGGCCCCAGGTCTGTTGTGAGCTCAGAGAAGTTTTAAGTCAAGACGTTCACGTCCTGCGTCTGCAGGAAACTGGTTTGTAACCATGGCGACTCACGTGCGTGCTGGAAGCCCGTCCTCATGCGTTTGTACAGTTTGCTCCTCCACTCCCAGATTCTCAGCTGTTTGTCTTTGTGACAGGCCTCCAGCGACAGCCCGTCCCTCTGAGCCTGCGCTGCCAGGTCCGACGCCCGACGCTCCGCCTCCAGCATCAGAGAGCTCAGGTGAGCCTCCCGACTGTCCACGCTCACAACTGCAACACACACACACACACACAAACACACACACAATAAATCTTTGTGATTTTGATGAAAGTTTTATAGCAGAAGTGATTTTTACTCAAACTATTTGTGATGATTAAATAAAGATTTACTGGAACTCATCAGATCAGATTCTCACTGATACTTTCTCCTCATGGGTGAAATGAGTTTGTGGACGAGCGGACGAGGACACAACCACAGCCAAACACCACCTCCTCTATGTTAGCAGATGGGAAATGGACAAAAAAAAAATCAGTTCACGTGCAATACATTTTCACTGTTCACTCACAGTTATTGATCGTCTATATATTCAGTCAGTGGTGCATTACTGCCTCCTGGTGGACTGGAGTCGTCAGTTTATACGTCAGCAGGATCAGTATCACAGTGAAGTTCTGCAGGAACCTTTGAGTCCCCTGTTTTTTAAAAGTTTCTGGGAACTTTTGTTATTGTGTGAGTTCAGTCCTATTTATTAAATATACAACATGTATGAGCTTCTGTGAACACACTCAGCTCTGTGTGTGTGTGTGTGTGTGTGTGTGTGTGTCTTCCACATTTGTCACGGTGAAACTCCGTCTGCTGCCAACTCGCCCAAACACTGCGGCTTTACTGCACTCGCCCGCCCGCTCACTCACTCACTCTCCGCTCCACTTCTTAGTCACGGCCAGTGACAGCAACACAAACTAACAACTACACCCTCATTCAGACACACACACACACAGAACTTTATTTTTGTCTTCATTCATTAAGTTAACAAATAAAAACCAATGAGGAGTTTTAATCTGTCATCAACACACTGAACATTTCACTGATTCATCTGACGACTCATCAGTTCTCACTCTGATGAATTATCTGGAAAAATCTGAGCAGTTTTATGCAGAACAGAATATTTTGCTAAAAGAAAATCAGGATTATTGTGAAATATCAACTTAATAAAAAACAGTTCATGTGTAATACTAGTTCATTTAAACTTTTTAATTTAATAAGATCTTTATATAATAAAGTTCCATTAACGTGCAGATCAAATAAATGATCCCCGTAAATGAACACACACAATGTTTAACCTCCGAGTTCAAGGTAAACAAAGACACAATGATGATGTCACATCTGATCAATACATGAAAATAATCATAGAAAATGTTCGATACTGAATCGTCTTCACTCTGATTTAGTTTGAAATATTCTTCAATATAATTATCAATAATCGGAACTTTTAGAGAACAAACTTCACTTTATTTCTTGTGTTTAAGTTTGTTTCCTTTAATATTTGAGTGTTTTAAACGAGTGTATGAACTGCACGACCACACACACACACACACACACACACACACCACACACACACACACACACACACAC